TTAACTGCAAAGGAAAAAAAAAAAGTCTGTCAACACATTCCAACAATTGCAGAAATCAATCCAAGTTAAAATCTCAACAAAACTGTCTCTGCATAAACGATCCGGCCTCAATGTCGACCTCAAAGCCGTGAAGAGAAAGTCGGCTTGAAAAAAAAAAGGCGACCTAAAAATGGATCACAAATGAGCCACATTTCGATCTTTCCACCCCGATCGTGACATAAAAAGCGGCGAAGAGGAAGCGGCGGGCCTGAGATAAGGCCTCCAAAGCCAAGCTATCAACTGCAGCCCCTTTCTTCAGGAGAGCATGACATTACAGCTCTCCCCCGGCAAGAAGGGTATAAAGAATGGAGTTGGGATCTACAGACACATATGGAAAACGACCAGTAAGCAAGAAGAGAATGAGATCAGACGCATTTGAGCCTACCCCGCCGTTTCAAGCTTCAAAGCAAAGCTACAATGGGTGGGAACTGGAAATAGCTACTCATGCGAAAGAGTGCAACACGCTTCTCTTGCAATTTACAAAACAAATACTAGTCCACTTTTTTGAATAAATGTCAAGAATGCCATCGAAGATATATTAATTTAATTTAATTTAATTTAATTTAAATATTTATGTTGGATGCAGCTGTTATTATCCCTTCATTCAATTTCCACAGGAGATTGGGCCCATTCTGAGTAAGTACGCTAATGTTTGTTCACATTGTAAGGTTGCAAAGATGGCGCGTCTAATACTGAGTTTGCACTAATTTGTAATTGGTAGTTAAAAAAAATCCACATGAGACACAATTTCTTAAGAAATATTTGAATTAAAAAATTTTGAAATTAAAATTAGGATCATCTAAACTTTAATTTTAACAAATTTATAGTTGTATTGAACATGAACTAAATATCTCAATAAGATGTTCTAAAAAAAGCTAAAAGTGATTCAATATGAGCCTAAATAAGTCTAAAATCAAGCACTTGAAAATCTATCGGAAACTTCATACATTAATTGGAAGGTCAAATGATCTATAAATTTGACATGCTTATAGTCAAATTGAGTGGCTCGATTAGACGAATCTAACGAACTCAAGATCGCTGAATTTTAATATCATTAAGGCACTTAAATGCTAAACGAACGTTTAATGATCAAGAAATCGATATAGACTGTAAGATTCAATGTTTTGTATTACGGTTCAAATTACCATAATGTTCACTCCAAAAAGGGACAAACCTCGTGATTTTTTTTTTCTTTTTTTGAATTTTCACATAAAAATGTCTAATCTTATAACTTTTATTACATGCTAAATTTTTATACAATGCTAAGACGTGAAACACATACACTCAACTGATTTAAATTTTCCAACACGTAATAGTAATATTTTTTTGTATTATTATGATAAATTGGTCATAATTAGAATAATTAATCCAAATAAAATAGATCACTTTTTATTGGAATCTTTATATAAAAATTTTTATATTATAATATTAAGATGTAAAATAACATATATTTTAAATTTATTAATTTTTGGGAAATTTACATACATACCACTATATACTTAGTATTTTACATATCTAACACCTCATTTTTAAATAATACACTTATACCACTCAAATCCCTACTTTATCTCAATAACACACTCAATTTTTATTTTTCTTACTTAGTAGGTAAAAGGTGATATTATGTCAGCCAAAATATTTAGGGAAATTTACATACATACCACTATATACTTAATATTTTACATATCTAACATCTCATACATTAATATTACATATATACCACTCAAATCCCTACTTTACATCGTTTCTACCACTCCATCTAACGCCTCCTCACGACGTTCTCTGCCTTCCGAACGACGTTTCTATGCGTTATTGTTGGACGGCGCGAATCTGAGAGTCGGTTAGGGCAGAACTGGAGAAATCAGAGCTTGGGGGAAGAAGGTAAGCTCTCATGCATTCTCTCATTTCATTTTTGTTCAAAATGATTTGTTTTGCTCGTAGACTGGCTTCTTGTCCATCCACTAAAAGATGAGTTTCGTTAAAAATATCTGGATCTCGTTCAAATATGCTGGTCTTCCTGATGCATTTCTTGAAAATGATTTTGTTAGGTTTTTCTAGGAAGGTTCTTTATCGGACATTTGCTTATGTAACGATTTCGTGTTTGATAGCCTTTTTTATAAGTACAGATTTTTTGTTGTGTTCAAGCATATGAAATTCTTAGCAATTTCTTGCATTTCTTGAACCCGTACAGAAAGAAGTATCGAAATTCTTAGCAATTCCTTGCATTTCTTTCAATACTCGTTGTTCAAAGATCCATTTAGCATTTCTTGCATTTCCTTGAGTTTGTTGAAATTCTTAGCATTTCTTGCATTGCTTGGTGGAGGCCGATAACTTAATTCCTTGCATTTCTTATAATTTATAAATGGCTAAGCAATCAATCTGTTGTTGTGCATATTTTCAGGTTTTGCAAAAGTTTTAATGAGTTCTTCGAGTTCTTCCGTTGTGAAAAACAGGCAGCAACATTCTAAGGTGTAATGCCATTGTCATCTGAAATGTGTCTTATTTACCTGCCACCGAGAACCAAACAGTGGAGAATTGAATGGAAGCAATGCTTATGTGCAGAATTGAATGGAGTATTAATTGTGCAGCCTCAAAATCATGTTTAACCTCACAATTGAATGCTTATGTGCAGAATTGAGTTTTAATTGTTCAATCAAAATGGATTATTAATTGTTCAATCAATGCTTACGTGCAGAATTGAATGCTTATGTGCAGAATTGAATATAGCATACATGTTCAACCTCAAAATCATATTAATTGTAATCATATGAACGTCAAAAAACACAAAGTTATGTGCTTTAATAGTTTTACAAAAAATTAAGACCAAAAATAATGTCAGCCAAAAAAATCATATGCGGTCTTCGCATAACCTCCCATAACTTAGAGACCTTCAACATACGAACAATCATTTTCACAACCCTCACTGAAGTCTTGTGGAGTCCGTCGACTTGGCAATTTAGCTTGTTTTGGTTGGCCCACTTGTGATAATAATGCGTCATCAATGGTACTCCTTAATGGATTATTGCATGTACTTCGATGATGACCCCAAAGACCACATCTGCTGCAGTTATGGACCTTCTTATCCTTTTCCAAAAAATTAGGCAATCTTTTTCTTTTGGGTCTTCCTCTAGGTCTACATGTATTTGGTACTCCAAGCTCTACCACATCATTAACTACTTGCCACTGATCCTTCCCAGGTATAGTGGCGATTGCTCCATCGTACGCCATCCGGTACCTAAAGCACTTGTAATCATTAACATAGTAGTAATAACATAGTAGTAATATTACCTATAAAATCATTAATTTGTAATCCTAAATTTAAGAAATGTAAATATTACCTGTAAACGTAGTAGTAATCATTAACATACGTATGCCACAACGGATGCTCCTTCATCCCAATGAAAGCTATGGCATGAATGCAAGGAAGTCCTGTTAATTGCCAAACATTACAAGTGCAGTCTCTGTTCTCGACATCAACAATATGTCTTGAATGGAGGGATTCAACTTCGGCCATGTACAAACTAGACTGTCGAACTAATAATTGTTCTTTTCTAGTAGTAATTTCTCTAATGTATTCTTCTGCATGAAGTACTAATTCACGGTGCCATGTCAAACTCGTCATCTTATGTGCGCTCCTTTGCTCCATGAGTTTGCCACGAATCAAGTCAATTAAGTCGACAACAGGTTTAGTTCTGGCTTCCACAATCCATGCATTGAATGATTCAGCAAAATTATTAGTATTGGTAGAGTGGAAAATCCCAACCATAAACTGACTTCGCGACCACTTGTAAGGTAATGAAATAAGGTATGCATGTATAGTCTGATTTAAAACACTTAGTTCAAATAGCTTGGTATTATACTCTGTGCAAATGTATGCATTCGCTGCTGCCCAAACCAAACCTTGGAGTTTATGGCCATCTTTGCAATGGAATTTTTTTTTAATATTCTTCCAAAAATGACGAATACATATTCTATTTTTAATATTGCTTCAAATAAATACACAATTTCCTTCAAATTTCTTTTTCAAACAACAAATAATGCTTATTAATGCCATGTAAGTTTATCCACAAAAGCTACAAAACAAAATTTCTTACAAATTTCGTACTTTTAATTTTTTTTTAAAAGCTGTTTTATTTGTAAAAAAAAATTCTGTTTTTTTATCCACAAATGCTACAATGGCACAAATAAAATTTTCTGTTTTATTTGTCTCCTAACTTTTATTTCTGTTTTAAAAATTTATATTTTATTTTTTAAAAAAATTCTGCTTATCCACAAAATCTATTTAGTGCCATTTTAGCAATGACGAATTTTCTGTCTTATCCACAAAATTTTTGCTTATCCACAAATGCTACAATGACGAATTTCTGCTTATTTTTAAAAATTTCTATTTTATTTTCAAATATCTGTAGCATTAGTGCCTCAAGGCAAAACGGCGGAAGACATTACCGTGGAGAGCAATGCGATCAGCAACTGTTTCGGGTTCAGATGGTGGAAAACGCGAGACGTCCGACAAAAGAAAATATGACAGACTTAGCAGCAACGGGTATTTCGGCGGGAAGAAATACTTCCGTCCGTTCATCACTGGTATTGGGCGGGAAGGCAGAAACGTCGTGAGGAGGTGTTAGATGGAGTGGTAGAAACGATGTAAAGTAGGGATTTGAGTGGTATATATGTAATATTAATGTATGAGATGTTAGATATGTAAAATATTAAGTATATAGTGGTATGTATGTAAATTTCCCTAAATATTTTGGCTGACATAATATCACCTTTTACCTACTAAGTAAGAAAAATAAAAATTAGGCGAAGAAGATTGAAAAATAGTTTGGAGCGAAGAGATGAAAATCAATATGCAAAACGTCTAGAAATTTTAAAATCATATTTGACATAAATTTTTCTTACTGTAGCCATAATGAGAGAAAAATTAGGATTATTATCAGTAAATTTTAAACTCCTCTCAAGTTTACACATAAATATACACCTAAATTAACAGTAATACACAGCAATATACAATTTGTATTAAGGAAAAAATCATATTTAACATAAATTTTTCATAAACCCTAAATCCTAACAAGTTGTTTACATAAACCATTTACGCATTTCGACATATCCAATGAAGATAAATCTGACCTTAACGTTAGCATCTGCACATAATAATTATTCTTAAAAGAAAAGAGCGATCCTTTTTCGAAGATGAAGAGCGTCTAAATTGAGAAGATGAAATGAAACAACGATGGAAAGTGAAACGACTTTGAATGCCGAGACTTGTGGAATGCCGCGATTTTAAAATTTCACGGACCGGATTAAAATTTTTCACCATTTGACCAGTGGACCGGATTGGGTTGTTAGGCCGCACGTGTTAGCATTTTATTGGAGATCGAACATAGAACTACGTCCCGGACTCCGCACGTAATAATTTCTCCTCTTCCGAGCATAATCGGAATGCGATCAAACCAAAACTAGTTGAATCGATGACCCAAAATAGAATGCGGACATTACATGAGATTGATGAATGAAAATTGTATGTCGTTGACATTATTTGCAATTTAGCAATGGGATTATTAAATTTAGGTTCTTGTTGAATTCAGTGGTTACATATATAACAATATAAGAAAACATCCCTTATAAATATTATATAAAAGCTCAAAAAATGAAAAGAGGTATCAGAGGATTTATTTAAATATGTCAGTCATACATAGGAATTCTTAGCGCCTTTTCAAAGTTGAAGGCAACTAGCTTTATTAAGACATTTTTTTGTTACTTGAGGAAAAATCTTATAATTATGAATAAGGATGTTTGATACGTGAGAATATAATTCCACCCCACCGAGCTTAACTGGGTTGGAGAGCGAGCGTTGTTGGATATGGGGCGACTCCTTAAGTGGGGAGAAAATAAGTACATGGTCTGACACCTGTGGGGCTGGTTGCCGCAAGGCCCGCCGAGGAATTAGTTACGCCGCGAAGCTCGTCTCTATGAAGGTGGCAGCAAGTAGATATCCCCGTTACATAAATAATATGATAATCTTTATATTTGCCTAACACCTAAAACTTCCAAATATATCATACGCTGTAAGCCAGTGTCTAACTCTCCAACTTGAATCACAACAAGAACTCTAGCAGTCCAGCCCACTCTACAGGAACTTTTATTTGGTCCGATCACAGGACGTAGCTCTACGTTCGGCCGTCAATAGAATCGTGCAACGCGTTCTCACTATGTACCGCACGCCCCGACAACCCGACCCGGAACGGACCTATGATGACTCGGTATTTCTCGATTTTGTTAGGTATTGATCGATTTTGCTTGACAATAACCAATACCGAGCAAAAACCGAGTAAATACCGAGCAAATACCGAGCAATACCGAGTTGTACCGAGTTTCTAGAAAAACTCGGTACAACTCGGTATTGCTATGTTCACAGAGCTGCCAGACGACTTGACCTGGACCAGAACCCGGGAATGCTATGTTCGCGTATTGCGAGGTATTACTCAGTATTTGCTTGGTATTGCTCGGTATTACTAGGTATTGCTTGGCAATCACGAGAAATACCGCTCTGTGAAGACCAATACCGAGCAATACCGAGTAGTCCCGGGTTCTGGTCCAGGTCAAGTCGTCTGGCAGCGCGGTAAAGAGTAAGAGCACGTAGCGACATTTTATTGGCGGCCGAACGTAGCTCTATGTCCGGTGAGAGGACGTAATAATTGTTCCACTCTACAGAGGTTTTATTTGGGTTAATTTTTTATTATTTTTAAAAACAGTTTTTAGTATAAAAATTTTTGAAGTAAATTTTTTTAAAAGTAATAAAAAATTGTCTCAAATAAAACCTGACTCAAATAAGAAAACGATAAGGCTAAAGAGTAAACTTCAACGAGGTAGATAGGATCAATAGAAAGAAATTCAATAACTTGAGTTAGGAGATTGTATATGGCTCAATAGCAGCAATGGAGAAGGGAAGAGCAGCTTTCCAAGCCCAATGACTTGCAGGCATTCTTCTTTGATCTACCGCTTCCCATAGCAGGAGAATGCACTAATGCCTGTACTTGAACCACTTAAACGCAGGCAATGACATCAATGGAGGTTATCTGAAAGGAAATACTTGACTTCGCAAGTAATCCTAAGGGGAAATACTTGAGTTCGCAAGCAAACCTAGCAATAATTGATGAAAACAGCGAGAAAATTTCAAGATCTCCAATGAAAACAATCCCAAATCAGTAGATTGTATAATAGTAATCAAATCAAAGCGAGCACAAAGCAAAGATACAATTGATCCTCAATTCGAGAGAAGGATCGTTCTCTCCCAATCTCTAGACGATGACTCAGAGCCCAAGTCACCAAAGAGAACTTCAAGAGAAAACAACAATCAAGCATGCCCTAACCCTAGCCTCTCATCCTCTTTAAATACATATCTTCATAATAAAAAGCCAATAAAAAGCTTTCTAAAATAAACCAAATTCAAAATAGCTTCCCTATGCTTTAGCCGCCCCCTTCCTCTCTCTATTTGTACTTGGGCGGCTTTCTAAGGAGGCGGCTTAGCCCACCTCATATAAACGTGAACCGGCCCAACTTAGGTCGGTTTCATCGGTTCAGGAAGAACAACGTTATCTCTTATTGATGAAAAAAAAAACATGTTCGAAAATAAAATATGCTTTAACGTTATTTGGGAGTCTGGGACTGTTGTTAAAAACTATATTTCCAACCACAATTTCTATTAAGTTTTTTTTTTTTTTTTAAATTTATTATAAGACAACTTTGATAAATAGTTAAGAAACTATCATTCAAACACAAAAGAAACGTTCTCAGACCTGTAGCAAAAGACTGTGAATTAGATCAAAGTAGTTGGTCAACTTTTTAGCAGCTGGACAAGCAATAATTTTGTAAGAAACAAAGAAAAAGATTTTGAGTACAGCTTTTGTCATAAAGTCCATGAAAGATGCACAAAGCATTTGAAACTGAGCACTGTAGTAGTAAATCTCATCCCATATGCTAAGACAGGCGATGATCCTTACTCTATGAGGGTTTAATTAGAGATCTAAACTAGTTAAGTAGAGCTAGAGTTTGATTAATTGTTAGAGCTGAAGCTCAGGCTTTACAACTATTATAATAAAATAATAAAAAATACGAGAAATTAGAAAAAAAAATCACTTCATATAAGAAAGTGTGATATGATACTTATATATTTTTAACAACTTGGTACTTAAAGCTCTTGAATAATAATATGTTTTAAGTGTATTAAATGAGCCGCCTCGATAGCTTGCGAGTCGCGTCAAGACTAGCTCAAATTTGGCTCGTTAACTCATCAAGTTCAGTTCACGAGCCATTTATTGAGCTAAGCTCAAGCTATCTCATAAATCTGCTTAACTCATACACACCCGTGTACAACAATGAAACTTAAGGCAGAAATGCAAGGGTCATAATAAGAAAGATCATATATAGAAAAACACTTAATTTGAACGCACTAAAAGAAATAAAAAAAACAACTAAGCTTGTCTTATCAAAACAAGGATAAATTTCCAAATAGATGAGATTCAAGGAAACACCAGCGCTGTATCAAAGGTTGGCAAGAAAATTCAAATTATATGCACAAAAACTACAAGGAAAACACATCATAACCCTGTTATCCACGAGGAATTATTCTGTGCGGACACCGGACGGGAGAATCGTCAGGTTCCACGCTCGGTACCGAGCGCGGTACATTTTTTGGGGCGATGTGGTGCATTTTTATTGGTCTCCGGATGAATCCGGATCCGCATGTAATAATTTTTCTTTATCCACTTGGTATCCGAATAAGAGAGGAATGGATAAATTTCAAAAACCCCAATGCTATAAATGAAGGATTCAAGGGATTGTTTGGTTTTGACAAACACTTTCAAAGTTCAAAGTAAATGGAGCCAAATTGACCGCATCATTCTACAAGGTTTTTGAGAATGAATGAACTAAAATGTGGGTAATGTATAGGTAATGTAGCACGACCACAGCAAATCAAATACAAAAAAAAAAAAAGTTAATCTCGGCGTTCTATTAACTTTACACCCATTTTTCAGCAAACTGAACAATCCATTAGGGTATGCCCGCCCACAAAAATACAAACAAAAATTTCGTCTTTGGGAATAAGAGAAATCTGAAATTTACAGACATGATGCTTGTTTGCCCATATTCTAATCCCCAAAAAAGAAGTAAGTTGCCATGGGTGAATGTCTCCAAGATGAGACATTGTCATAAATGAACCATTCACTTGTGAGTGATTAAATGAACAACTCTTTTCAAAACCATCAGTGTTTAGTTTGCTTAATAGTTATGTAATATGCACTTCCATCTCTTGCTCAAGAAAATTATACTGCCAATCCAACAGGCATAAGAAGAAATTGTTAGACCGGCCCTTGGGCCGGCTGAACCGGTCCTCCTTGGACTGGTTCAGGTCTACAGGAGGCGGAAGCAGCAAGGGGGTTGAAGCTTGGCTTGGGCGGCGGCTTGAGTGGGATCCACACAATAATAAAGGCTGGGATTAGGAGGGAAAATCGAATTAGGGGGTTGTTTAGGGAATAATGAATTGTCCTTTTATTTATTTATTTATTTTATGAATTATCCTTTCACTTTAAATAATCTTCTTCTTGCTAGGGTTATGTTTTCATCTTGAATTTGGGCTGAAATTTAAGATCTTGGTGGTTGATTTTGGGCTCTAGACTCCGGCTAGAGATTTAGAGAGTTGAATCTTCCTCTCGAATTGAAGATTCATTGTATCGGATTATTTTTTTCCTTCCACTATTGAATTTCTAGTGATTTCTCCTTGTTTTTCCTATAGTTTTTTGGGCAAAAACTGTTGAATTTATGTAGAATTTCTCTAAAATTTTGCTCTATTTGCCATTATTTGGGGTTGTTTCCTACCAAATTGATATCAGAGTACGTCGATCTAAGGGATATCAATGGCCGGAAAGAAGGTCGAAGTCTTGGAGGGAGAACTTGGGCAACTCAAATATGATTTTGAGGAAAAGATTTTTTATTTTCAAAATTAGATCAAATCCGTTAATGAAATGATGGAGAGAAAGTTCATTGTGGTGGAAGATATGCTGAAGAAATTATTAGAAGCCAAACGTAATCCGACAACATCGGAAGCAAAGGAAACTACCGACATCCATGGAAGAGGGGGAACCCTAACACGTTTAGGGAAAGGGAAAATCCATAAGTAGAGATCTTGGAGGGTGAATACGGAATGCCTCCTCTAGAACCGATATCTAGGGAAGAGATGAGCATTGACTATGAAAGAAAGGGTGCAGATTTTGTGAGGAGAGGGGATGATTTTGATCGCTGGGGTGCTGATTTTGAAATAAGAAGAGGGGTTCTTGATGAAGGATTTGGGTATGATCGTCGGAGGAAAGATCATGACAAATGGAGAGCACCTCCTCTATGATGAATGGGAGGCTACGGAGGATTTAGGGGACACGGGGGTGACCCGAAGGTAAGGAAACTGAAGATGTCCATCTTTGATGATGAGGAAGCACAAGACTGGATCTACAAGGTGGAGCGATACTTTGCAGTCAACGGATTGACAGAGGAGGAGAAATTGACAGCTGCAGGACTGTGTTTAGAAGGAAAGACAATGGCATGGTATCAATAGCGGGATATGAGGCGGCCCATTCGGAGCTAGAGAGAGTTCAAGGACTATTTACTAGAACGTTTCTGAACTAATAGGGGAAGAGACTTTTATGAGCAGTTTTTCGCCCTGACTTAGGAAGGGACTATGACAGAGTACCAAGACAAGTTCGAATACCATGCTAGTAGGCTTGATCGGCTCTCAGAGATAGTACCAGAAGGAGATTTTATGAAGGGACTTAAATCGGAGTCCGAGCAGCAGTTAGGGTGATGAGGTCACGAGACTTAGGAGAAGCCATGGAGCTAGCACAGTTGGTGGAGGACCAAAAGTATATAGAGAGGGGGCTAGGGGGAGCAACTCAGGGGGGTCATATAGGATGGCCACCACCTTCTTAGCTCCCAAAGGGCCTACACCGGGAGTTTGAGAGAAGTACTACGGGAGAGGCATAGGTGTTAGGATCGAACTCTTTAGGTTCTCACCGTCTGTGATGACGAGGAAACTGAAGAGGGAGGTGAGAGCGGGTTAGTAATGGAGGAAGAAGAGAAGTTGCATCTGGATGTTGCAGAAGTCTCTCTAAACTCAGTGGTGGGATTCACCCGAATCACACCATGAAAGTGGAGAGAAATAGCTGACAGAGAGGTGGTGGTGCTGATAGACAATGGGGCAACCCACAATTTAATCTCCAATCAGATTGTTGACCTTTTGGGGATGAAATTAGTGGATATAAGTGGTTGCGGGGTGATGATGGGCACAGAGAAGGTGGAGATGGATAGAGGAGTTTGTAGGGGAATAGTGACGACAATTCAGGGGATTCAGGTGAGGGAGGATTTTCTTCCCTTGAACTTGGGGAGTATTGATGTCATTGTGTGGATGAAGTGGTTGCAGACCTTGGGGGATACTAAGGTCAATTGGGGAGTACTGAGGATGAAACTTATGGTGGGAGGAAAGAGGATGGTGATCCAAGGTGATGTAAGGTTGTCTAGGGTTGGAGTATTTTTCAAATCCATGATCGGGACCATACATGAGGTGGGAGGAGAATATTTGGTGGAACTGCAACACTTGGAAGGGATCAGTGTGGGGAAGAGGGAGGCATAACTCTTGCAGTACAACCCATCATACATCAGTTCAGTGAGGTCTTCTAGCCGCCTCAAGGCTTGCCACCACCCAGAGAGCACGAACATGCCATCATTTTGAAGGAGGGGGGTCCCCGATTAGTGTATAACCATATTGCTACCCCCAAATTCAAAAGGATGAGATTGAGAAGCTGATCATGGAGATGTTGGAAGCAGGGATCATAAAGCCAAGTGTGAGTCCTTTCTCTAGTACAATCTTACTGGTCAAGAAGAAGGATGGGAGCTGGAGATTTTGTGTGGATTATAGGGCGTTGAATAAGGAGACTGTGCCTAATAAGTTCCCCATCCTTGTGATTGATGAACTGTTTGATAAGTTGTATAGAGCAATGATGTTTTTCAAGATGGACTGTTAATTATACACATAATGTCGCCAATATATAGGGAAAGTATTATGTCAAAAAAGTATTTACCCTTTCTTAATAATTTAAAAAAATAAAATAACATAAGTTCAACTCAAGAGCAGTGGCATTCATATTAGCGCATAAACATAGTTCAAAATCATTCGTCACCCAAGAATAACAAAGATAGCAACATAGTTATTTTATAACCTTTGCCTGGCAAATTATCATATAAAACTTGAGCATTAAAGGGTAAAATTTACAAGTGAAGAAGGATAAAAGGTTTCATGTTCCCACAACTTTGCCATGTTGCTTCAAATAAAATAAATAAATAAAAGTATTTGACGGAAAACTAAACTTAGCAATGACAACACTCGCATTATATTATTTTAAAACTCTAACAGAGTTTTTTCAAGACTTTTGAATAAGAATGTTTTTCATAAGCTTACTTATAAGTGAATTACTTTAAGAAAATAAGAATAGAGGAATAAGAATTCATAAATTGACACCCAACAATTAGGATGACTTTAATGATGCTGATAATGATGATGAAGACATAAGTGAATAACCTCTTGAAGTAGAGTCCTTGCACCCTCAGGGCTGAGGCTAAGTAGACACGTCGAATGTAGCCCTAGTTCCAAGGATCAGATTAGCAGTCATGAAAGCAGCCTATCGACTAGACAACAAAAGAGGTTTAATTGAATATCACAAATAGCTCTTACTCCACCTTGTAAAATCCTAAACAATATCATCTAAAGATAGAAAAGCCAACCATTAGCCATGACTTGTTAAGCAATATAACCTGGTAAGGTTCCATGTTGAGCAATTCATAACTAGACATGAAGAAGATTAACACTTTAAATTTTCTGTAGCTGCCCAAGCCGATGGTTTTGAACTTAAAACTTAACTTTTGTTACACTTTTGATGTGGGACTACAGGAAAAACTTGTTCCCAATTGTAGAATGTAACATCGAGACCCCAAGTTAAGAAATATATCAATAATAGACATCCACCAACTCCAAGCTTAAGTTCATAGATAAGCGTCCCTCCCAGCATTTTTTTTAGACATTTAGGCAAATTAAGTCAAACTCACACACACATCACATCCGCAAAATTCGAACCCAAAATCTCTTGGTTGCTAGCCGAAGCTCCCACAAAGCTCCAACTAACAGACCAAAATGAGTTGCATCCTCCCAACATATTAGAAACTCATCTTTTGTTTCATGTTAATGTGGGACTACTCTCTGTCATGTGGATCATAACAGCACACTTTGATGTCGAAAACCAAAGGGAGGAAGAAGAAATCCGTGCAACCAATGAAGATTAAAAGCATTGGTATCCCAATCACAGTAATCCTAGAAGCAGACAGAGTCTCCAAGTTCCGGAAAAGACTTATACACTTGAAATAAATGAAGAATCATACATGCTATCACAAGCTTAAGAGAAGAGGGACTCATCGATCACGATCTTGACCTTCTCTCCGTCATCGAACCGGTCCTTTCTGGGAGGCGAAGGGGGGGCAGGGATCCTTGGAGGCCCTCTTCCCTTATTCTTATTTCGAGGCCTCGCCTGATACGTAACACACATACAGATTAAAATCAAATTAGGAGTACAGTCAAAGAAAATTTGGATAAATGAAGAGAATCGAGGATTACATTTCCATAAGAGTGCTTGAATCGCTTCCCTTTCGCCGTCTTCTTGTCCCCCCGGCCGCAGTACACTAATCGAGCAAAGAAACGTAGGATAATTGAAAGAAAATAATAAGTATTAGGAACATGATAGAGATGGAAACTGAGTTTATTGACCTAAATGGAATGGCGGAGGAACAGACGCCGTCGAGGAAGCCGAGAGGGAAGCCAAGCAGAGCGAGGTCCCCGAAAAGACTTCGGAACGAGAGAAGGATATATAGGAGCTAGAGGGACGGTACTGGAGGGAAAGGGAAGCCATGGGAAGAGTGAGAAGCGCCGCCATGGGTGGAGAGGAGGGAAGAGCTTGAGAAGAGCAGCAAGCCTCTTTGAACGTCTAGCCGCAGACGAAGCGATAAGCCACGATGCCACATACAATAGAAGAAGCTCCAAGAAAATATTCATCAAAAAATGCGAAAAATTAGAAAAATATAACCATCGTTTATTTAAAATAAATATATCTGAAAAATTATTTTGAATCAAAATACTTCTAGGATTTTTTAACAAAAAAAACTACTCAAATATATTTACTCATAGAAATAAACAGAATTTATTTTTCTAATTACGAATATTATGAGTCATATATATTCAAACCTATTTGTTTAAATGATTTATGTAAAGTCTAAAATATTGGCTCTTACATAGCAAAATGAAGGAGCATCTGGTTTCCATTAGCTAATTTAGAAGCCCTCTCTACATGGTTTCATACATAGGAAGACAAGTGTGATTTTATTCATATAATTTTTGTTCATGCAACCATGATTAATTCGTTCTTAAAAAATAATATATTGAGATATAGGCTTCGTTTAGGATTGTTTTCTTACTGTTTTATACAACAGCTTTAAAGTATAAAAATTTCTTGAAAGCATTAAAAAATAGTAGCCAAAGGCTATCCCAAACAAAGCTTAAATGACAATCGTAGAAGAGATTGTCTTCAAGCCCTTGAAGCCATAGTAGTAACCAAGAACATCTAGAGACTTAAATCCCCTCAAATCTTAATTATTCAAGGATTCAAATTATATCTAAACTTTAAGCTTGTACATTAGTTATAAGAATGTAAATGTATGCGGTGTGTGCCATTGGGATGAACAAAATAGAGAGATGGGCTTATGATCTTGGTAATTTAGCTATTTAGAGGTTTTTTTTTTCTAAATGATCCAAGAATTTTTGTATTTGAAGCTATGTAAAGGGATAGGATACCCTAATAACCTATTTGATACTCACTTAGATGCTTTAATATGAATCCTGGGCTTCAGAAAATAACTAATTTATTGAGATTTAATCAAGTTATTAGTGCAAAATCTTTGGTATGCTAGTTGTTTGATGCCCTTTGGACAATCAAGGAATGTCTAGTACAACCTATCCTAAAGCATTTTGAAGGTTGAGTGAAGGTTGGATTTTAAAGATTGTCTTAGATCACCGAGAACATCACAACAAGTCATTTAATCCTTCAAAAAGAATGGTTCAAATATCTTGTATCACCTTAATTTGAACATTTTAGGTGAACTATCGAATTGTTATTGGACCATCTTTGCTAATTTCAACTAATTGAGCTTCAAGACACTTTGGGGTAGCTTGAATTTTATTGCATTGACATGATTGGGTCAATTTTAATCAATTTGGCATGTTAAGGAAACTAGCGAGCAAATGGAGATGAGCTAAACTAGTAGCTAAGTCACATTGAGCTCAATAGCTAAGTATGAATTCAATTGAACTTGGTTTGGGTTAAGTTAAAATAGTTTAGTTACTTAGGCAACGGAGTAGGTCTTAAGGGGACTAGGGCAAGTCAAAGACGATTGGATGGGTTGTTGATCTAGCTAAATTAGGCTAAATGATCAATTTTGATTCATTTGAGTCAATTTGGGCTAACTTGAAAGGCTATGTTAGGCAAGTCCATTAGTTTCCTAGGATGTGGCTTAGATGAATCCTAAGCATCTAATATGTCAATTGATCAATTTATTTCAAGTGGTACGTGTTGGGTTCATATAATGTTAGCTTGATGTTGAGCAAATCAAGGACATAGTACATCCAATGATTTTGACCTATTTTGATTTATCAAGAGACATAAGTCCTATCATGTTGATTATAGTGATTAATTCAAAGCTCACTCGATGTGCTCTAAGCCCAATTGGATTAGGTTGGCCTGATAGACTAATAATATTTAATATGTGTTACGGTTCTCCTCATGTTTACTAAAATTGTCTTAGAGAGCCTAGGATTTACCTAAACTTAGGTTTCCATTAATTTACTAGAGTCTCCTTAATAAGACCAAGAAATAATTAATTTTCTTCATTATAAGAAATCTTATCTCAAACTAATAGATTATAGATTCTTAAAGAGTTATCTTAATTCCATTAATTGACTTTAATTTTTTTTTCTTAAGTTAAAAAATGCTCTAGATTTCTATATATATTAAGTTTTTTTTTTTGGATTTCTAGCATTAAAATTTTTAATATTGTGCTAGAAAACTAATTTAAGAAACAGTAAAAAAAATCGTCCAAAACAAAGCCATAAGCACACATTCTTCACACAGAAAATTCAATTGATTTACCAAAAGCTCTAAGTAGATATCTATTTTACCATTTGAATTGTATAGCCCAATAAAAATAATTGCAAGAAACATGCATGGAGATGTCATGTACACCTATGGGGTGAGAATTTATGTTATAATTATGACTAACGAATAAGAATATGGTGAATCAAATTGATTATATGGTGTGAAATTATCAACATATAAGACATGACTAATATTTTATAGCTTATCTGAGGATGGATAACATAACATGTCTAGCTCTCGCCTTATCTCAATATGTCATCTTATATGCTCAACAGAGCTCATAAATCCATATATTATTTTTAACAATAGGATAAGAGAGAGATAGTACAACTTCTTAAATGAAATCTCCTTTTTATGTGGACGTTTCATTTGACAATATTATTCATGCAACTATTGATACAAAAATCATCTTTTGTGCATTCAAACTTAATTTGAATAGTATTTTTTTTTATCTTGTAAAATTCAATTGGTGCAAGATTATATAATGTATTAGCCTTCTTTAGCGGCTTGATAAGTTGAGTAAAATGTTCTTGGGGCACATTATATTTTATTTTAGTACTTATAGTCGAATTGTAATAGTCAATTCTGAGTAATTAAGAATGAAATTATCATTTAAATCTAATAAAGAAAGATCATTTCTAATATTTTATAACCAAATCTTTTGAGGTCTACCTCTAACTTTTTTAACATAAGTCAAATATAATACATCTACTATCCTAACCGGGTCATAAGAAGACTACCGTTTTATGTGACTAAGTCAATCAAGGCGACTCGCTGTAATTTTATCTTTCATTGGAACTACTCCAACCTTTTCACGTATATGCTCATTTCGTATCTTATCTCTAAGAGAAAAGCCACTCATCCACCTCAACGTTCTCATCTCTACAATACTTAAAAATCTAAAACTATACATAAATATCCACTCATTCATATTTTTATAAATCCCCAAAAAAAATTTAAATCTTAAGCTCTAACAATTTAAAAATTAGACAAAAAAGTTACAAACTAAAAAAACTTACAAATAAAAAGAAAATTATCTTAGAAGTATTGATTTTAAGTGAAACATGATGAGAAGTGATAAAAATCCTCCATCCATACAAGAAGGACAGCAAGGTTTAACCAAAGACCCAACAAAGAGCCGTTGATGACACCGAGAGAGATAGCCATGGCTCCAAAATCGCTCGATGGGCTTCGATGGAACTAGAGAATTTATTCAGATTATCAAGTGACTTCTGAAAGTATTAAATCCATGACAAGCTTTCAATAATTTCCAGTTTTCCACAGCAAATTTCAAAATCGGCAGGTTTTTTATGAGAAATCCGCCCGAATTCATAATAAATCTTTCAAATCGCAAGATCTCGGAACTGATTTCTTCAATTTAATATGCTGATATGATTCCTTAGCCAATGATGATCTCATATATGAATCTGATAACGTAATGAGAACAAATTCATCAGAGAGGCTTGCCTTTTCAAAATTCTTTCCGTTACGTAGGATAGTAGCTCAGGCAACTCTGTAGATTCTTTCAAAAATGCGAATTTCCTTTTCATTGCCGTTTGTTTTCATTATTTGGGCATATCCCAAACTCCGATGTGATCTGGCCATTATGCAAGAGATGCCAGCAATACTAATTAGTCAAAGGAATCAGGTGCCTCCCATTTGCTGATTAACTCATCTCAGAAAAATATATCTATGTTATTTTGACCTTCTTAAGGAGTTCTTAAGCAACCATAATTAAATACTGGAGGGATCTAGCTTTGTGCAGTCTCTGTTAAAATAGCTCTATAGCTTCTGGACTGTAGTGATGGAGGTGATTGATTGTTCTCTTTTGTTGAAAAATGTTAAAGAACTCTTACCCAATGTTCTTCTTTTGCTAAAGCAACGGTTTGAATTTGTTGCAGTTGAACTAGCTTCAAAGATGCGTCAGAGTAGGCTGTAAACATAGCAAATCCAATAATAATTAACATGTTTAAGCTTGTTTGTCAAGTAACTAAATATGTCCTAAAGATAGTATTTCTTTAATGCTTATCATTGTTATATTGATGCCGTGGTAAGGCTATATGTGAACTTAGGCTTCATTTTGGATGGCTTCTTACTGTTTCTTAACGCAGTTTTTTAGTAAAAAACTTTTTTAAGAAACAATAAGAAAGCTGTCTCAAATGAAGCTCAAGTCGAGTTTGAGTAAGTGCTTTGCCCTGTCATAATTAAATTTCAAGAATAGTGAGAGAAAGAGGAAGGAGTCTTTCTCAGTTCAAAGAATTTAAATTTGAAGAAATAGGACACTGAACAAGAATGAAGTCTTTTCTCCCCACAAAAGACCTTTGCTCTGTCATAATTATGAATTCAAGGACATTATCTGCTTATTATTTTATTTCAATTCATGCCTAAATAAAATCCAAATCTTCTTCCATGCCCCCATTTCATGATGTGTCCACTTCTCCTTCAACTTCCACATGTTGCGTTTTTTCTAAGGCTCTTGAACGTGATTGTAATAATGAGAACCACGCCACCATCATTTGATATTATAACATACTTAAGCATCTACTCAAAGAGAAGAAGAACACACCAGGCTTCGATCATTCATATCTTAAAGAAATCAAAAACCAAGCTGGCAGTCGCAGATTTCTTTTAAACTTGTAATCAATAGCAGAAGAATTACAGATTAGCAAGAGCAAACAAAGCTCCACTTTCATACTACATAAGCACCCATTAGAGAAAAGTCTAATTAAAAAAGCACACAAAACGAGTAAGCAGCCAGGCGCCTGGGAGTGCTGCAACTTCTGTTTGGAAAGTGTTTGATGAAATTCTTAAGAAGGCGAGATCGAGATTCAATGGTGGCGAGGCGGCGGAGTTGAGACCGGCGGCCTGGCGCACTGGTAGCATTTGGCGAAGAGTCCGAAGTTGTCGATCTGTTTGATGAAATTGGTGATGCTGGCCCAGCCCCCGAACCCAAACCCAACCACAAGAACCCAAACCACAATGAAGAGGTTAACTGCATACATGCCCGTCCAGCTAGGCAGGAAAAAGGGTGGCTTATCTGCTGCGTTCTGTTTCCAGAGTTACAAAGCAATATTAAGAAATATACAGCATCAGTAAAAAAAAAAAAGCTCTATGGAATGAATGGCTACATTCAAAGAATGCGGTTGCGGTTGAAATGGCTTAATCAAAGGTAGGCCATGAATTATAAATGCAAGGCTTAGAGACAAAGGCAGTGACAGCAAGTGATATGGAAGAATAACACCATACTACAACACTCTTTTGCCATTTGAAGAAAAATTGCAGCACCCTTTATTTTGCATAAGCAATTCAAACTAATTTCCTATATTAATTATGCATCCTCGCTAGCTATTAGATCTCCAAAAACGTCCATAGTCACTGTCACACTGAACAAAGAAAGACCAATATGCCTCTATTTATGCACATTGAGACACAACACAAAAAAGATATTATGTAATTCAAAGTTATTGAATTTGCATTAATATTAGCGCTACATATGATAGCACAAATCTCAAAGCTTAAAAGATACCAAATTGAGAAATATAAAAAAAAAAAATCTAAAGGCTTTGAAGTCCATCCTGATGTAAAACAGATCAAGGTATTTTATACAGTTATACAACTTTTTAAGATGAGTTTAAATAATTTTTTTTTACAGTAATAAAGTCAAAGATTCTTAGCTTAAATAATCCACCTTCTTTAATCTATGTTGCAAACAATTAATTTTATATTCCACAATAATTACAGTTAATGATAAGGTTTCCCAATTAATAAAAATCTAATATGGTCTTGCCACCTTCATTCGTCGTTCCAAATCCATGGCCACCATGAATGCTTTTAAAATCAACTACCTCTTTACCAACATGTCCATTTAAATCTCCTCCAATAAAAACTCTTTCTTCAAGAGGTATATTTTGTATTAATTCTTCTAAGTCATTCCAAAAATTTAATTTAGAACTTATATCCAAACCTACCCTAAACCCTAAACCCTAAAGGTTTCCCAATTAATCTGCCAAATAAATCTTATGTTTAATTCAACAATCACAGATATAAAATATAGATACCTCACCATGCCAGAAATTAACATTCATGTGAACAATTTTTAATTTGCACCTTTTTTTATGGAGAAATTATTCTGTGCAAACACCCGACCGTCCGGAGGCGAATCAGAACGTGTAATGTTATCAGTTTACTATGTACTACTATATACCGGATGAGCCTCCGGAGGCGAATCAGAACGCATAACCTCATCTGGTATACAGTAGTACACAACAAACTGATGACGTGATGTGTTCTTATTTGACTACGGACCGCGTTCATATCCGCACAAAATAATTTCATCTTTTTATGATCTTATTATAGTCATATTCACCATTCACTGAGAATCCAAATCACAGTAGTGTTGTCTTAATACGATACCTTGCGGGCGGAGCCACTGCGGAAGGTGATCATGTGGGCGAGGCAGGGGATGACGTAGACGGTGAAGCTAACGAGAAGCGCGCCGACGGCGGAGTTGATGGGGCCGAAGAAGGGGAAGATTATAGCAAGGAACCAGATGGGTACGACGACGGGGAGGCGGGCGAGGGCGCGCAGCGCAATGCTTTTGGTGTCGTGCATGCCGATCACCTTCTCCCAAACAAAGTAGAGCGGCGTGCAGGCGAAGCCGAAGGTGATGAACTGGTGAATGAGCATCAATACCACCGCCGTGTCGCGCCACCTCGTCTTAGGAAGTAGGGAGAAGGCGTTGGCGTGGTCGAGGAGTCCGTCGCCGAACGCCCAGTACATGGCAGCGGCGGAGGGCAGAGTCAGGGTGAATACGTAGAGAGTTGCCAGAAGGTAGACGAACTTGAATTTCTGAGGCTTCCACATCGCGTGCATTATCTCCCTGTATCGAGGAACAGACAAGCGATATTATGATAAGAGATTCAAAAGATTAGTGCGAACTACGAGCAGGAGAATCGTTTCAGAAGGAATATTATGAACTTTGCAAGAACTGAGAACCTTCTTGGTCAAGTGCAAATAGAGTGAAAGCAGCCATTAACTAATATGAAATCAGGCAGGCCTTAACAATGATTTTGTTGTGCAAGGGATTCAATTATTGAAATCAGAAATCAGAAATCAGAAGAAGGGTCGGGGCCAATTAAGGCAGACTCGCAGATCAAGATGAGAGCTGCGTCATTAAATTAGTAATGAGCTGAAATTCAATCCTGTTTTGTTAAACAAGTCATATTAAAGATGTCAAATTTCCTGTAGGGGTCAGATTTGAACTGACTACTATATTACAAGAACAAAATGGAACTTTAAAGATGACAAATGCCAGTCTAAGAGCCTGTTTGGACAGTAAGGGGCTGTTTGGTAGCAGGATTTAGGCCAGATTTGAGACGGATTTGAGTGAAATCGAGCCAAATGGCCTAAAATGCAAAAACAAATCTCACGGCAAATGAAAGCCACTGTAGATGGAAAATTCCACCTTGTTGTGCTAAATCCCGGATTTCTGAAATCCTGTTTTTCGCAGGATTTACGAAATCCATTGGCTCAAGAGGAAGAGTCCGCTCGTTAAATGCGCTTTATAGCCAAACAGTCACACAAGATTTAATAGGATTTAGAAATTTTAAAATTAAGCATGCTTGTGCGAGAGAAGCCTTAGAATGTGTGACCTCCTGAAAAGCTACACTAAGAGGACAAACATCATGAAATTGCTATTGCGAAAACGGACAACATATCTATAATTAACAGTTCAGGCAAGATTTTGATGATATTTTCTCAACTTTTTTTTACTAAGTTAGCTTACAGTAAGAACAGCTAAGTGCAAAAAGTAATGAAGACAGAAGAAAAGAAAGAAAGCACCATGCATCATAAGGCTAATCAAGGTTAAAGTTAAACCACACTTGTTATTGGCTATTTAGTGGGAAACAAAGCCAAACTTCACCTTTCAAGCTCGTAATCATTAATGCATCTCTTACCACTAAAAAGATTCTTTCCATTCGTATCAAAAGACTTCACAAAAGGCTTTTTTTTTTTTTACAAAGTAGAGATAAAGTACAGACTACACTACAAAGTGTCACCAATAAACCCTAAATGCGCCGTTTAGAACATTATTACCCTCCCACTGTAACGTCACTGTTATTATTTTAAAATTTAAAGTATAAATTTTCACCGGTAAAAAAATCAGCCGGACGAGGGATGGGGCCCCGGTGCAGTGACGGGTGTGGTTCTGGGTCCAGGAATAAATGCGTGTATGGAGATTTTTTAACCTATTAATGATTTATAAGTTGTATCTGACAACGAATCGTCCGCCTCGCTCCGGCCAGCAAAAGCTGGCAAAGAAGAAAGAAGAAACCGCGGATGTAAAAGAGATAAGAATCAGGATGACTGTCCGGGTTAAAAGGATAAAAGGAAAGCAGGCGTTAATAATGGTAATTATAGTACTTGACTGCAGAATCTCAGTACTTACACAGTTACGGCATGGCCGCCGAAAGTGTAGAGGATGTTAGTGGCGCCAGTGAAGTAGAGCACTAGCTTCGTCGGCCCGCTGTGGACCAACCCGGGCTTCTGTATCAGTAATTCAAACTTAGTTAAAAAAAGTAATTTTTATGGGAATTTCTTATGAAAAATTCGAACTTTGGATAAAAACTGTGATATTGGAGGGGACCTGGCCGTGGACGAAGGCGGCGACGGTGAGGTACCAGGCGGTGTAGGTGGTCATGCCGAGGCCAAGGAAGGACCAAATCCTGTAGTTATGGAAGGATGGGATGAACACAGTTGTCGCGCAACAGGCGCCGAAGATATAGGTCCATGTCCTCTTGTCGAGCCGATCGTTGATGTAATATATGTTGCTGTATTAAAAAAGAGAGGCAAAGTTCAGAGGCATAATTATAAGAAATTAGAGTTTATATAGGTCATTTATGCAAGAAATGGAGAAGATCACCTGGCGCAGCCGATGAGCTGGATGACAGAGCCGAAGAGCAGGAATGTGCAGTTGAAGGCCAGACCAATGGCCTTCCAATATGGTCCCAGCAGTCCGTCGAGTACCTCGAACCACTGTAGTTTTACAAAAATAACCACGAAGGGTGGAAATGTAAAATTCGTTTTTGAATTAGTTTTGGAGGCAGGGGAGGCTGGAGAACAGAGGAAGGAGATGAAGAAGGGTTGATGAGAGTACTTGCCTGGATGACATGATTCTTAAAGCTGACGTTCTCCTTCTCCTTCCTGGTGCGGTACTCGACGTAGAGGACGCTGATGAGGTAAGCGGTCCAGCTTCCCATAAGGCCGTAGAAGATCTGGAGCGTGATTCCGGAAGCCATCCCCATCTGGGAGAAGGAGTACGGCAGCGTCAGCAAAACCTGAGCAACCTGCAACAATTTCATGGAAAATATGGTCAGGAGTTCGAAATAGAACCAGGAATTAAAATTCAAAAGCCGAGATATTTCGATCAGAAGGTCTGAGGGATGATTGAAAGGAAGATACTTGATTGGAGGCGCAGCTGAACCAGGCGTCATAGACGGAGCCACCGTGCCACAAGAAGCTTTTCATGTCGAACTGCGCCGGCGATACCGTGAGACTGTTCTCCTCGTCGCCGGTTTTGAAGCTGGTGGCTTCGCGGTCCACCACAATGGCCTCTTCCGCTTGCTTTGGAAGCTCCATCTTCACCTATCGTCGCCCAATTTCTCCGCAACTAGGACCTGCTACAAAAGAGAGAAGGGAAAATGGATTCGAAAAGATGCGGCCGGCAATATTTACTTGGTTAAACAGTGACTGAAATAGTCCGGAGGAATTAAATGCTGTGATTGATAAATAAAGTGACAGGTCTAAGGAGGAGCAGAGCCGTCCGAGGGCTGGGAGGAAGGAGGCGGAGGAATCTAGTTATTGAATGACTTTGGGAGAGAGGGAAGAGGAGGGAAAGGGACTGGGAATGGAAGCTATCAGTTGTAGCTACAGCAGAGTGCTTCTGCCTCATATAAGAGAGAGAGAGAGAGAGAGAGAGAGGCCCGATTTCCTTCTTTTCAGTGGAGGGTAGATTTCAGATCTAGCTGCTGAATTGAGGACATAAATCCTTCGAGGAATTTCTCCAGGAACTTTCTGCTTGTATCATCCACCCACTACCCTTCAAACAAGCAAAAAGCCCACGCATCATGAAAAATAAATTATAGTTTAGAATTTTAACCTATAGTAATAATAACTTAAAAAAGAATTCCGCGATCTACGTGGATAATCAAGAGTCTATTTAGGGTCAGTTTATCAAAGACCGCAGAGTTATATTGAGTAATTTGTTGGCCCAAAACAAACAAAAATTTTGATAAGCTAAATTATGATCAATTCATAGACAAATGCAACAGATACAGATCAATCATCAGACAAATGCTCTCCTCCTTTCCTATGTGCTTAAGCCGGCATCTTTGATTTCTAATTTATTCGGTTGTCTCTGAGCTATGATGAGTCGAACTGACATGTTGCTGATTTTGTAGAAACTTAAAATGCTAGAGGAGAAGAGATACAGTAACGGGATCGAGAAAATATTCAAAAAGTTTTATTATCTTTCCTCTCTTATTACATAGCAGCTGTAGGTATATATAGCCGTGTCTAAGCCTGCTAGGTACACTTGTCATAACTTGATTGGTTGGCGATACATATTAGTAAATATATTACATGCTCTTAACATTCCCCCTCAAACTAAGTATTGGAAGTAATAGTTAGTTTGTCCCGGAGTAGTTTGAATCTAGGTGTTGCCAAAGGCTTGGTAAAAATATCCGCAATTTGATCAACTGTGCTAATGGGAAGTAGACGAATAACTTTATTCAGAATGTGATCGCGTATGAATCTTTGATCAATTTCGATGTGCTTCGTGCGAGCGTGAAAAACTGGATTGTCGACCACGTCCGAGAGTTCCGGGTACCGTGTCAGGTCGGGTCAACCCGGCAATCCGCCAGGTCGGGCCCGGGTTCAGATTTCCGACCCATTTGTCTACCCGGGTCGGGTTAGGGTAGACCCGTTTGAACCCCAGTCAGTTTCGGGTTCTACCCGAACCTGACCCGTGACCCAAAATTGACACCCCTAACATCAATATTGATGCTAGAAATTGAGTTCAGCTGTAGATGAATTTATTGTTTGATATTCTTACTTTATTTTGAAAAGGAAGAAAAGGAAAATAGAATGTTCGGATGGAGATGTGCTAAGGTCATCCTGTAGAAACTTAAAATGCTAGAGGAGAAGAGATACAGTAACGGGATCAAGAAAATATTCAAAAAGTTTTATTATCTTTCCTGTCTTATTACATAGCAGCTGTAGGTATATATAGCCGTGTCTGAGCCTGCTAGGTACACTTGTCATAACTTGATTGGTTGGCGATACATATTAGTAAATATATTACATGCTCTTAACACTCTTTAGGGGCTAAAAATTTTTATTTTTTGGTTATCTCTTGTTCCGTTTATTTCTTATGGCGGACCAGAAATGAGTCACGTTTTGGTGAGACTATTTGCTCGGTTTAGGGGTTACTTAGCAGGATTACTTATGCCATTAATGCTAAAACTTCTAGCTGGAAGACTTTTGATTCTCTGCACTCGCTTTGATCAATTTCGATGTGCTTCGTGCGAGCGTGAAAAACTGGATTGTTGGCTAATGCAATAGTTGACATGTTGTCGCAGAATACGTCTACTGGATCAGCGTGAGAAACACCAAACTCCATTAGCAACCGCTTAAGCCATATAGTGTCCGCTGTTGCGGATGCTAAAGCACGGTATTCCGATTCCGTCGAGGAACGAGAGACCGTGTTTTGTTTCTTCACCGTCCATGACACTAGTGTATCGCCGAGAAATGTGCAGAACCCGGAGGTAGACTTCCTAGTTGCAGGATCTGATGCCCAGTCCGCGTCCGAATACGTGCGAAGCCGTAGACTGGAACGAGTGATAGGTAACCCGAAATCCGTGGAGCCTTGAATGTAACGGAGCAGTTTCTTGAGCATTAGTGTATGAATTGGAGCAGGGTTGTGCATATGCTGTGAGAGATTGTTGACCGCGTGGGCAATGTCCGGCCTTGTTAGGGTCAGATACTGAAGGCTTCCAATTAGTTGCCTGTATCTTAAGTCGTCGAATACTGGCTGTTCGGATTGCTGAGTAGCTGTTAATTTGGTTATAGAGGGATTAGCTACCGAGTTACATTTCTGTAGCTCGGCGAGTTTAAGTATAGATTTGGCGTAAGAAGTTTGAGAGAGAAAATACTTATCTGAGGATTGATCAATCTTGATGCCGAGGAAGTGATTCGCCGAGCCGAGTTGTTTCATGGAGAATTTGTCTTTGAGCTGGGTGATGAGATCGGAGATGGCTTTCTCATTGTTGCCGGTAATGAGTATATCGTCGACATACACCAATAGGTAAATATGTGTCGTCTCCTTGTGACTTATTAGAAGGGACGGATCCGCCTGACTGTGAGCAAAGCCGAGCTGACGGAGATAGGATGTAAATGTTGTGTACCAAAGTCTCGGGGCCTGCCGTAATCCGTAAATGGCCTTGTGCAGCCGGCAGACGTGAAGTGGATTATTCGCATCGACAAATCCTTTGGGCTGCTGGATATAAATTGTCTCATTAATGTCACCGTGCAAAAATGCGTTGTCGACGTCTAATTGTTGGATACGCCAATGATGAAATAGAGCTACTGTGAATAGAATTCTGATAGTAGAAATTTTTGCAACAGGACTGAATGTGTCCTGATAGTTAATTCCGTATTCTTGTTGATTCCCTTGAGCTACTAGGCGCGCTTTGTATCTAGCCACAGACCCGTCGGAGTTGTATTTTGTCCTGTAGGTCCACTTTGAACCAAGAATCTTACTGTTAACCGGCGGTGGCACTAGTGTCCAGGTGCCCTGTTTCTGGAGAGCGAAGAATTCCTGCGCCATTGCCTGCCGCCATTCGAATATCTTGCTTGCCTCGCTGTATGAGGTCGGGTCATCTGGAGTTTGAGTTTGATGAAGTAAATTAAGTCGTTGAACTGGTTTAAGGGAGCCCGTCTTGGACCTGGTAGTCATCGGATGTGTAGTGTTGATGTCGCTAGGTGGTATACTTGGAATGGTGGGTGCAATGGTGACCGATGAGTTCTGTGGTTGGGATGGGGTATGAGCAGGCGCCTGAGAAGTGGAGCCAATAGCATTACTACCGGTATGATGGTAATGCCGAATGGAGTGAGGGATAAGAAGCTGATGAGGTGGTTGGGTTGAGTCTTGAGGAGGATGAGATGTAGTTCCTGCATATGGAAAAACGGATTCGTTAAAGGTAACATTCTGTGACACTACAATTTTATTGGTTATCGGATTAAGACATTTATAGCCTTTCGACGTCTCGGAATAGCCTAGGAAGATGCAAGAGGAAGACGTTGGCATTAGTTTCGTTCGTTGTCCCGACGGTATCAAAGGAAAGCATTGACATCCGAAGACTTTAAGATGTTCGTATGAGGGTGGAGTGTTAAACATTCTTTTGAGCGGGGTAATGTTATCTGTTGTGATAGATGGCATTCTATTGATCAGGTATGTAGCCGTTAGAGCAGCGTCGAGCCAAAATGACATCGGAAGGCTTGCCGTTTGTAGCAGAGCACGGGTTGTGGTAATGATATGTCTGTGCTTTCGTTCCGCAATACCATTCTGTTCCGGTGTATAGGGACATGAGAATTGGTGCCGAATGCCTACATTCTTAGTAAAACTGAGAAAGTGATTATTAACAAATTCACCGCCACCATCGGTACGAATGGTTTTGATTTTGAAATTGGTTTGTTTTTCTATGAACGTAGTAAAGTAAACGAATGTGTTAGTAACATCAGATTTATGCATAATGGGAAAAAGCCAAGTAAAACGAGAGAACGTCAACAATGAGCAGATAATATCGAAATCCTTGGTTAGACGAGACCGGTGAAGGACCCCAAACGTCGGAATGGACTAATTCGAGGGGAGCTTTGGTTCGTCTAACCGAGTTTTCAAAAACTAGTTTGTGACCCTTACAAGACATACATGTAGTACAAACAGATTTAGTAGGTAAGATGTGTAAAGCCGGATTACAACGAGAGATATTATGCATCACGCGATGATGTGGGTGGCCCAGTCGAAGATGCCAGCTATTCGACGAAGTTCGGGATGTTTGTAATGCTGTGGCCTGAGCAGATTGGTCTGCCGTTGCTACCTTGTACATCCCGTGGCTGCATGGACCGCTAAGGATGGCCTGATTTGTCTTCCGATCCTTAAATACAAAGCCGTTTTCGTCAAACGTTATAGAAATGGCATTGTCTTTGACTAAATTAGAAATTGAAAGTAAATTATATGAAAGCGAAGGAATGTGCAGTAATTTAGAAAGAAAAAGCTTACGGGATGGGGTAGGAAGAATGCCCGATCCCGTATGTGCGATAGGGACGGTTCTTCCATCCCCAAGAGTTATCGAATCGTGGCATGTGTAGGTGTTGTAGAGATCAAGATTGTCGATGGTGTTCGTCATGTGAGACGATGCTCCGGAATCAATATACCAGTCCGTATTGGCTGTGCTATCCTGTTGAGCTGTAAGAGCCCTGTTGCTCTTGGCCGAGGGCTGATTAGACGTGTAGTTGAGATTCAGGCGATGCCAGCATGTTTCAGCACCATGACCCTTCTTCTTGCAGATTTGGCAAATGACTGCATTTGTAGCGGCTGTGGACAATCCGGAATTAGTTCCAGACGGCGGACGACTTCGGCCTCTGCGGCCTCGGCCGCGAATAGAGTAGAGTGCCGATTGATTGTCCGGTAGTTTAGGAAATTTCAATGCCGCAGACTTGAGGTGGATTTCTTCACTGATAAGAAGCGCGTATAAGGTGTCGAGGGACAGCGACCCTTGCATGGTGCGGATAGTTGTGGTGAAAGATTGGTAGGCCGGTGGAAGTCCATTGAGAATGTAAATGATGATGTCTTCGGGATCTATCGAGGAGCCGGCCGAGGCGATTTGATCGACGATTTTCTTGACTTCAGTAAGGTACTGAGTCATAGACATCGTCTGCATAGAAATGTTATGCAACTCTTGTTTGAGTTGGATTACCTTCGAGCGATTGGAGGATTGGAATCGGGTATGTAGAGTCGCCCATATTTCTTGAGTGGATTCAAGATGAATCACATAAGGAAGAACTTCCGGGGAGATCGTTGAGCACATTGCAGTGGCCAAGTTCTGATCGGTCACCATCCAAGAACGCGTGTCAATGTTTGGATCGGCATTCTCGGATGAGTTTTTAGGATCAAGAAACGCATTGAAACCATTTGCACGAAATAGCTTGGCGATTTGCGTGCTCCAAATCGGAAAGTTGTCCGGAGTAAGGGCGTGAGGAACCAAGAACTTGAGATTAGAAATTACAAATTTTAACGACGAAGAGATGCCCGTGGAGTCGCCGGCAGTAGCGGAGGTAGTGGCGATCGAGGACGACGCCTGGTCTTGATGTGCCATGGCTTGAACCTCAAGATCTACCTACTTCTGATACCATGTAGAAACTTAAAATGCTAGAGGAGAAGAGATA